CTCTGCCTCCCGAGTGCTGGGATTAAAGGCGTGCGCCACCACCGCCTGGCTGTCTTTTTTGTTTTGAAACAGAGTTTACAGGCTAGTGTACCATCCCAGTTTAAAAATAGTGCTTGTTGAGGATGAGTATATGTGTGCTGGTTTGTGTGGAAACCAGAGGTGGTAGGATGGCTGGTCACTCTCCAGCTTTTGTTTTGTTTTGAGATATGGTCTTACTATGTAGCCCTAGATGGTCTGAAATTTGCTATGTAGAACAGGCTGGTTTCGAACTTACAGAGATCTTCCTGCCTCTGCCTCCTAAGTGCCGGGATTAAAGATTTGTGGTACCACACCCAGGCCTCCACAGTTTGCTTTTAGAGATAGGGTCTCTCACTTTGAGTTCACCAGATGGCTAGAATCCTGACCCATGAACCCTGAGATCCTCCTGTCTCTGCCTTCTGTGCCTAGCTTTGCATGCGGGTGCTAGGGACCCAGACTCACATCCTCAAGTGTGCACACCAAGAACTTTACTCACTTGCCATCTCTTCAGTCCCATAAATAGCTCTGATTAAAATGTAAAGATTATTATATTTTTATAATTTAATTTAATTTTATATATCAGCCACGGATTCCTCTGTCCTCCCCCTCTCCCCTCTCCCCTCCCGCTCCCCTCTCCCCCTAGCCCACCCCCCATTCCCATCTCTTCCAGGGCAAGGACTCCCCTGGGGATTCAGATTCAGTCCAGGCAGGTTCAATCCCCTCCTCCCTTCACCCAGGCTGAGCAGAGTGTCCCTGCATAGGCCCCAGGTTCCAAACAGTCAGCTCATGCACTAAGGACAGGTCCCGGTCCCACTGCCTGGGGGCCTCCCAAACTGTTCAAGTTAATCAACTGTCTCACTTATCCAGATTATTTTATGTGCATGAGTGTTTTGCCTGTATGTCCATATGTGCACCACATGCATAAATGGTGTTTTCAGAGATCAGAAGAGGGTGTTGGATCCCTTGGAACTAGAGTTACAGATGGTTATGAGCTGCTATGTGGTTGCTGGGAATCAAACCCCAGTTCTCTGTAAGAGCAAGAAGTGCTATTAACTTTCTCCAGCACCTCACTCCACCCTAGTAGCTTTTAAACATGTAAAAAAGTAGTCATTTCTCATTATTTATTTACTTACTTATTTTTGGTTTTTCATGACAAGGTTTCTTTGTGTAGTGTTGGCTGTCCTGGAACTAGCTTTGTAGACCAGGCTGGCCTCACAGAGATTACTTGCCTCTGCCTCCTGACTGCTGGGGCTAAAAGTGTGTGCCACCACGGCCCAGCTGGTCACTTCTCTTAATGTTTTTTAAAAACAGTCTCCATATTTAGCTAAGACTGGCTTCAAACTGTAATCCTCTTACCTCATCCTCTTGGGTGCTTATAGGCTTGAACCACCACACCCAGCAAAGAGAAAAGCATTTAAAAATGTCAGTGAAATATTCTACTTAACAGGTTGGCAGAAATCCAGCACAGTGAAGAAGCGTGACCATCAGGCAGCAGGGGAGCAGGTGCTGTCATACATGCAGTTTGAGCATTGCTCTGCATCTTTGTGTTACAATGAAAGTACAGATTTTGATCTAGTGTAAAAAAAAAAAGTACAGATTTATCCTCTAAGACTTATTACATAAAGGAATTTATTCTATAATATGCTTGGATACAAGGTGATATGTTTAAACTGTGGAAAAGTTGGCTAGAAACACTTAGTTGATTGTTAATGACCGCAGCTATGACAGACAGTGAGACTACTCATCACTGACAGAGACTGCTCGTTACTGACAGAAATATCTTCAAGACCCAGTGTCAAGGTAATAAAGCCAGGGCAGTATAGGATGCTATCTGCTGTGGGAAGTAAGAACACACTGTATGTGCATTGTGTGCATATGGACACTCTGGGAGAAACTCTGTCCTGGTGTAAAGTGTTGAGGGAAGAGGTAGCATGCTTTAGTCCCACTGTACATTGCAAGTTTTGTTTTATATGCATGGATTGCTTTCCCAAAAAATTAAGTCAATGGAGTACTTTAAAAGTGGAACTAGGCCATCAAGATGGCTCAGTGGATAGGGACGCCTACCTCTGAGCTTTATGACCTGAGTCTGAGCTCCAGGAATCAGGTGGTCAAGAGAGACTGACTCCCATAGGCTGTTCTCTTGTCTCCATGTGTGCACCATGGCATGCCCACACCTGCACTTAGACATGCAAGAGTAGAGGTGTAGCAGCTTTCTTGTGCCACCAGCCAGCTTTCCAATCATGACATGGAGACTTACTAGTTATGAATGCTCGGCCTTACCTTATGCATGTCTCACTGGCTCTTAGAACTCGTTTCTCTTCTTCTACGTTTTGCCTCGGGCCTTTTTACCTTTCTGTCATTTTGTATGTCTACTTTCCTGCTTCCTCCATGTCTAGTCAGCTGGTGGCTGCCTGGCTGGCTGGCCCTGGGTGTCTCCCTCTCCTCTCCCTATTGAGTCTAGATTCCTCCTCTTCCTCACTCTCTCTGCCCACCAGCCTCACTTGTCCCTCTGCTGCCTAGCTTTTTTATTAGCCCAGTCAGGTGCTTTAAGCAGGCAAAGCAACCCATCTTTACACAGTTAAACAAATGCAGCAGAAACATCTTTGCCTAGTTAAAGTAATCCTCCACAACAGTCGTGGTCTGTGACCCTCTGTGCAGTGTCTTCTGGGGAAAGTCACACATAAGTTTGTTGGTCCTGCTTTTCCAGTTGTTTCTCAGCAGTGATCAATGAAGGCTTGGATAGTGAGAGCCTTGGGCTCTGTGACCAACCCTCAGAGAGGATTTCCCTTTGTTTTGGCAGTTCATTTAATTCCCTTTAGACAGCACTGAGTCTTTTGTCTTTTTATCTACAGGAACTTACAAGCAGCAATTGGCGCTTATTATGACTTTGAGAGCCCAAATATCAGTGTGCCCTCCATGTCCTTCGTTGAAGACGTCACCATAGGAGAAGGGGAATCTATACCTCCTGATACTCAGTTTATAAAAACATGGCGGATCCAGAATTCTGGTAAGTGTATACCGGGAATTTCTATATTGATGGGTTTTTAATAGTTAGAATGAGAAAGGACTGGCTATGATGTCCTGACTGAGCTTTTTCTTATCCACAGTATTATCTTATACTGGCACAGTGGCCAGACACCAGTGAACTATCTTAGAATAGGAAGAAGGCTTAGTCTGTTGCTGCATCCAGACACAATCTAATACTCATTTGCTACTAGAAACTAGGCTTGTGTGTGGCAGAGTATTGTTTCCACCTGAAGTTCTCCATAATTCCACTTGTGATCTCATTAATACTCATCCTCCCTGGCAGCCAGAGAAGGTGCCTCCTTGACTGGAGTGGGGTAGTTGGGAAGAGCTGTGGTCATCTGCTCCCTGCAAGTTCATTTCGTGCAGCCACAGGACTCAGATTGCACTGGAATGTCTGTGGGGATTAAGACCACTGAAAATGGGGTAAGGGGTGTAGAAATGTGTTCAGAAGAGTGAGTCACTTTAGTAAAGCACATTGTAACTCAGCACGGTGGCACACAACTGTAATCCCAGGACTCGAGGGCAGAGGCTAGAGGATTGCTGCTAGTTTGTGGCCAGCCTGGGCTATGTAATGAACTCCAGATCAGCCAGAACTACATAGTGAGACCCAGTCTCAGACAAAAACGAATACTAGCAGGTGACTAAGTAAACCATGTTGTTTTGACTAGTTGGTGAGTTGACCATAGTTCCTTGTCAGTGGACAGACCTGCTCATGGTGTGGTAGATGCAGTGTCTGTTACCACCTCTTGCTTGTTAACTTCTTTGAGTTTGTATTTCTGTCCATCTAGTGGAGGTTTGTGCTTCCTTAACATCCTTAGTAATGAAGAGAAAACCTGACCTGTGGAGAGCAAGCTAGGCAAAGAGTGATGTTTAGTTAAGACTGTAGTTAGTAGTGTGTGAGTGCCCTCTCTATCATGATTTGATTTGATGATTTGATGTGAGATGACATAAAACTCAGGGGACCCAAGCAGACTTTTAAAAAATTACTTTTTTTGGGCTGGAGATTTGGCTCAGAGGTTAAGAGCACTGACGTTCTTCCGGAGGTCCTGAGTTCAATTCCCAGCAACCACATGGTGGCTCACAGCCATCTGTAGTGAGATCTGGCGCCCTCTTCTGTATACAATAAATAAATAAATCTTTAAAAAATAAAAAAAAAAATTACTTTTTTGGGCTCAGTTTCTTTTTTAGTTCTTGGTAATTTAGTTTGTTGTGATGGGGAACTGTGGCTGAGCTAACCTGTTTGTTTTGTTGAAATGGAGCAGCCAGGATAGGTGATGTCCTGTAGACCTCGCTCCCCGTTGTCACAGCGATGCATTGTTTGGAGGCCTGTGGTGACACAGGAAAATGCTCATGTTTTCTAGTTTTTGTTTTTTCTTTTAGTTCTCAGCCAAAGTCTGGATTTGGTTTGTTTGTTTGTTTTTGTTCTTGTTTTTTACTTTGCTTAATTTCTTTTTCACCTTAAAAATTTCCTGTTTTAAAGTACATCAAAAATCTCTCTAGTTCAGCTTCTCTTCATATTTCTCAGAATTATGCAAACTTGGTATTGTAAACTAAAAATGTTTTTCAGACATACATGTGCTTTTCTATTGGTTCATTTTCTTTTTTTTTTCTGAGACAGAGTTTCTCTGTGTATCTCTGGCTGTCCTGGAACTCACTCTGTAGACCAGGCTGGCCTAGAACTCACAGAGATCCTCCTGCCTCTGCCTCTTGAGTGTTAGGATCAAAGTGTGTGCCACCACCGCCTGGCGGCAAATCTGTTTTATTTCATTTATTTCGTATTGTGGGTGTGCACGAGTGTGCCATGACACACGTGGAGTCAGTCCTCCTCTCACTGCGTGGTCCTGGGGAGTGAATTTGACTTGCAGGCCTGGAGCAGGCGCTTTTTACCCACTTGGCCACCTCACCAGCCGTTTGTCCTTCTGTTTGGAAACGAGGTCTTACTAGACACCCCTGCCTGTCCTACAATTGGGATTTGCCTGCCCAGCTGTTTATTTGGGCTTTGGCTTTGTTTTGAGACAGGGTCTTACTGCTCAGACTAGCTTCAAGAGTGCCATCTCCCTGCCTCGGCCTCCTTAGTTTTGGGTTATAGTTTTGGGCTACCACAGCCTGCTACAAGGCCATATTTAAGAGGCCGAGGAAGCTGGGTGTGGTGTTAATCCCAACACTTGGGAAACTGAAGGTGGGAAGAGGTTGACAACCAGGCCAGCCTGAGCTAGAGAAGGAGGGAGGGAGGGAGGGAGGGAGGGAGGGAGAGAGAGAAGGAGGGAGGGAGGAGGGAAAGAAAACAGGCAGGCAAAAAGACAGAGACAGGCAGTGTCTCAAGACAACAACAAAACCTGATTTGTTATAGAACAGCTATTCTGCTTTCTGTAAAGCCTATGTCTATCATTTACTCAGAAGATAGCTCTGCAGATGGTGGAGGAGTCGGGGAGGTTGTCTGTGATGGTCAGAGTAACCGGTCAGAACTCCAAAGCTGCCTTCACCTTGACCTAAAACACTGTTTGGGTAACTGCTGTTGTCTCGCAGCACTTCTGTGTGTGAAAGTCAGTTCTTGTATCTTAATTCCTCTTGAAAAGTTGGACAGCAACTGCTTGAGATTTTATCTTTCAAGGTACTGTGCACAAAAAGGTTTTTGACCTTTTGAAAGTAGTCCAAGCTATACCTGCAACCTGAATGCTCTCTATCTGACTAGGGAACTGAGTAGGGGTAAATTATCAGAGGACACGGGCATGTGCTGGTTCCTCAGCGTTGTCCTAATCCTGCTGACGTCTTCAGGAAATGGATACTGGTGTAGAAGTCGGGTAGGCACCTGCCACTCGTGGCCTCTGACTCTCCTTCATAGCCTGCCTTTGAAGAGAAGTGGTCACTGGGAGAGTGAAGTGCATAGTGATTGTCGGGGCACTTCTTGGTTTTGGGTAATAGATTAATGCACAACAGACAAGATACACAATAGCTGCGTGGAGCTGTCCCAGTAACTTCCCCAGGGTCTGTCATATACTTGAAGTCGGCCCTTTGATATTTAGCTATGTAGGTGCATACTTGTAGAATTGAGACTTTTTCTTTCTTTTTGCTATAGAAGCTTTGGAAGCCTTACAAATACAGAGGTTAGAGTTTAAACTAGAAATATTCTCTGTAAAGATGTAAGTAAGGGGGTTGGTGAGATGGCTTAGCATTTAAGAGCACTATCTGCTCTTCCAGAGGACCTGAGTTCAATTCCCAGCACCCACATGGCAGCTCACACCTGTCTGTAGCTCCAGTTCCAAGGAGTTGAACACCCTCACACAGACACACGTGCAGGCAAACACCAATACACATAAAATAAAAATAAATCATTCAAACAAACAAACAAAAAAACAAGATGTAAGCAGACTGGGTACCCATGTAGCTTGGCTGGTAGAATTCACCTTGAATGCACAAGGCCTGGGTTCAATACTCAGGACTACACACACACACACACACACACACACACACACACACACACACACACATGAAATGGAAGTAGACAGAATTTTCTTTGTCATCAGCTTCCATCTTCTTAGTGTTTCCAGTGAGGGTTAACTACACTTGCGAACAGTTTCTCTTGGGTGTTACAGCTGTGGTTCTCACACCAGAGTGGCTTGAGCATGCTCCTCACTGTCGTTTGTATGTTTTGTGCATCATAGAAATGAAAATGAAAGTAGACGCTTGGAAAGGAAGTTGAAAAAGGACAACTGTTCCCTCTCCCTCGCCCTCCTGAGACAAAGTGTCACCATGTAACTGAGATTGTCCTGTGTCACCCGCCACCACACACCCCCACCCCCCTACCCCCACCACCCCCGTTCTCTGCTTCAGAGCACTAAAAGACAACTTTACCTTCTTTTTTTTTCTCTGTGTAGTTTTGGTGCCTATCCTGGATCTTACTCTGTAGACTAGGCTGGCCTCGAACTCACAGAGATCCACCTGGCTCTGCCTCCTGAGTGCTGGGATTAAAGGTGTGGGCCACAGCTGCCTAGCAGACTTTACCCTCTTTTCAGGCTGGCTGTAGAGAGGAGATTTCACTGAGCTCACTTATCATGTTTTAGCATTTTGTAATTGTCTGTTAGATGTGGGAAGGAACTTGGGACTGTCTTCATGGAGCAGCCTCCACACACCAGCCTGGTTGGGGAGCCCTCCATGGGGTTCGTCTTCTGCATCTCCAGACTTCTGTAGCCACAGACCTGTGGTCATGTCCAGGCTTTCTGGAACTCCTGGTTGACTTCCTTTTGATTTCTCTGATGCTATTATCTTAAAATTGGTGCATGACAGGGTAGTATTTTTTTTAATAAAGTGATATTCTGTGATAAGAGAGCATTACTGCCTTAATCATATATGGAACCTAATTTCCAAAGTCATAAAGCACATGTGAGCCATCCTTTTGTTCTAGAAAGACCTATTCATGTATGAGAGATAACAGAACAATAGTAAACAGATCTCTAGGCCAGTGGTCCTCAACCTTCTTGATGCTGAGATCCATAATAGAGGTCCTCAGCCATAAAATTTTCATTGCTGCTTTAATTTTGACACTGTTATAAATTGTAATGTACGTATCTGGTATTTCCAGTGGTCTTGGGCAACTCCCATGAAAGGTTTGTTTAACCCCAGGTAGAGAAACACTGTGTGTGTATGTACGTGTATGTACGTGCACATGCATGCATGTGGATGCCGAAGGACAGCTGAAGGGAGTTGATTTCCCGTTATGTGAGTTCTGGGGTCAGATGGAGTTCACCAGGTTTTGCTGTAAGTGCCTTTTCCCCACTGACCTGTTTCTCTCACCCTCAGAGTTCCCTTTGCTGAGTGGCATGAGACACGGTGTTGTGTTGCTCAGGGAATTGTGGGTAGACTTGCATGTGTATATGAAAGCCTTTTCCTCAGTTCACTGAGAACTCCAGCACAGGACGACTGATTTCCTAACGTGGTTTTCTTCTGCTTAAACTCAGGGGCAGAGGCCTGGCCTCCAGGGGTTTGTCTTAAGTATGTCGGGGGAGACCAGTTTGGACATGTGAACATGGTGATGGTGAGATCGCTCGAGCCCCAAGAGATTGCAGATGTGAGCGTCCAGATGTGCAGCCCCAGCAGAGCAGGAATGTATCAGGGACAGTGGCGGATGTGCACTGCTACAGGACTCTACTATGGAGGTGAGTATTTCTTCATGCAGACCAGGGCGAAGGAATTAAGGCAGTACCAGCAAGCTTCACAGCGTTGTTGACAAAGCTAATGAATGTGTCACAGTACCAGAGTGGCCTCTTGTTAGCCATGCAGGTAAATGCCTTGAAGTTAGTGACACGTTGGTCCAGTCCAATTCACTTTCTTTTGCCCTAGAAATGTCAGCTTCAGTGGAGTGTGTGAGATACACTTGCATTGTAAATCATCATTTACTGAGGATGCTGACTAAAGTTACTGTGTAGTCTCATAGTGCTGTCAGAATACCGGCTGCAGGCCTGTGACCACCTAGACCTGTAGATGTCTGTAAGTCATGTCGACCGAGGAGTACACAAAGTGTGGGTCTTCTCCAAGTCCCAGGACTTGTCCTGCTGCTGAGGCCTCTTAGCCCTCTCTTTATCGCCTCACTTTTTAAACAGTGGTGCATACTCTACATTTCCCAGTCACTCTCCAACCCAGGCTGTTCTTTACCCTCTGCACTCTACAGTGAGTAGTTAACAGCAACTGTCCAATTGCCAAATGGAGTAGCCATTACAGTCTTCACTCCGCCCAGCCTTATCTGTCCTTAGGTGTACTGCACTGCACATAGTTCTTCAAGGCAGTGTCTTTGGCCTGTCCTGTTGCTCTTCCTCTCTATTCAGTTGCATCTTTACCCCAAAATGACTGCCTTGTGAGTGGAGTTCCACTCGGGCCTGCTGTCCTCATCCACCGTGTGGGTCAGCTGCTCCCAGTTGTCTGCACAGGATGTGCATATTCACCTCTGAGGCCAGGGTCTGTTTTCAGAGCTTCAGGTCTTTGTTTTAACTGATTATGGGCAGAACACCTGGATGGTCTATAGATTTGGATTTTAAAATTTCCCACCAGCAACATCCTGTGGTAATTAGGCTCAAACCTTGGATTGGTCATTTGTTCTCTCCACCTTTCTTAATTACAAGCCAATTCCTGTTGGTTCTGTTATATCCTATGCCCAGACTGGTCTGGGAGTGATTGGGACCTTTGGTGTTACGTCATTCATCCTTGAAGTAAGTCCTCACAGTTAGCCCATGGAAACTTTAGATATTTCTACAGTCTGAAGATTTAATAGTAGAAAGAAGGTTTTATAGTGCTTACATGACATCATTGCCCTGCCTGTGCCTCCTGTAATGTGGCAGATTCCTACCGCCAGTCCCTGAAGATGCCTCATGGTTGTTTTTCTGTGTCCTCACTCACAGTTTGCTGTTTGAAATCTTTCTTTCCACGACCTAACACCATCACCGTCCATCATTCCCTGCCCCTTCCTACTTTCCTCAGGAAAATTCACAGGTCCCTTCCCAGTCCCTCCCTTTTACATTATTTTACTTTTCTGTGGGTGGGTGTTTGGCCTGAATGTCTGTCTGTACATTACCAGCATGTAGTGCCTTTGGAGACCAGCAGAGGGCATTGGATCCCAGAACTGGAGTTACAGACGGTAGCAAGCCACCACTCCAGCACCAACCCCTTTTGAGACAGGGTGTGGTTTGCCCAGGCGTTCTGAGATCCCTACATAGGAGGAGTGACCAGTCACCTTCTCAGCCCTCTGCCTCCAGCTCCCAAGGGCTCTGATGACAGCATGTGGCACCATCCCTGCCAATTTTGTCCTTCCATTCCTCCTCCTCTTCCCTGTGTTGTGGATAAACCCAGGGCCTCTACCAATGGACTGTATCCTCAGCCCTCCTCAGATACTGTTTTAGTTACATATATATCAAGACCCTGTATCAAGGCTATTATAACTCTGCATATAACCCAGGCTGGCACTAAACTCTTTCTTAAGAATATATTTAATTTTATGTGTATGTATGTGTGCCTGAGTGTATATGTATGTGTGTGTGATACGATGTGCATGCAAGAGCCCTTGGAGGTTAGAAAGCGGTGTCAGATCTCCTAGGACTGTAGTTACAGGTGGTTGTGAGCTTCAGTGTGGTGGGTGCTGGGAATCAAATCCAATTCTCTGTAAGAGCAACATATACTCGAAACCACTGAGCCATCTCTCAGCTCCAGCATTGAACTCAAAGATCCTCCTGCCTCAGACTACCAAATATTAGGATTACAGAGGTGTGCCCCATGCCTTTTTCTGTAAAGCTTTTACTTTTTAAATTTTGTTTCATTTTGCAACAGGGTTTCTCAGTGTAGCCGAGGCTTGCCTTGGTCTGTAGTGATCCTTGTACGTGTGCTTCTAAATGCTGCAGTTGCAGGGGTGTGTCGCCACGTCTGCCGTATCCTGGGCTTTGTTTTGTCTTGTTTTCGCTCACACATGCTGCAGCTTTAGTGAAGTTTAAAACAGACATCACTGTTCTTGGATGAGAACAACATGATGTAAGTTTCCTTACTGTTTCAGAGGTGCCAGTTGGTCATGGTAGGAAAGGCATGGCAACTGGGCCGTTCTGTCCATGGTGTTGGTGCTTTTGGGCCATCTTGTTCCTGTCTTGGCTCATCAGGAAACAGGAGAAGCAGACTGACCCTCAAAGGCCCAGCCTTTGTGGTTTACGTGCTGGTGTCTGAGCCACTACCACCCTTCTCCCAGTTCTTCCGCTCTGGAGCCACCTCCATTAGTCATGAGCGAGACTTTGCCTCCTCTTCCCTCACCTGTGTTTTTAATGGCTGCGGTTTTGAATGCCCTGCACCCGCACTTTCTGAATGACCTGCATCCGCACTTTCTGAATGACCTGCATCTGCACGGCTGTCTGAGTCTCCAGTCTCCAGCCACCGGCTGTTCCACGGGGCACTCCTCTGGCTCTTCTAGAGCCCCTTTCTCACTGTACACAAGGTAGCTTTGAATTCTTCCATTTGCTGCGGAGTGCTTGAATTATGTATGGGCCGCCATCCTAGGCTCCTTTTCACTTGTTAACCCTCCTTTAGAACATTCTTCTCTGTGAGCCCATGGAATGGCTCTGTGGGGAAAGTCAAGTGCCTGCAGCCCGGGAGCTGATTTTCATCCCAGAACCCACACATGGTCCTTTGACCTCCCCGTGCAGGCTGCATGGCTCAGCATGTGTGCACCACACGCACACACTAAAGAAGTAGAACTTTTCCTTCTTTTGGGGGAGAAAGTATACAAGCATTCTTTTTGGTTTGGTTTTTTTTGAGATAGGGTCTCAGTGTGTAGTCTTGACTGTCCTGGTACTTACTATGTAGACCAGGCTGGCCCTAACTCAGCAATACAGCCTCCCTTATTTTGGTGTGCTCCACTGCACCTCCCCCCCCCAAGAAATTTATTCTTTATGTACATGAGTGTTTTGCCTGCATGTGCGTAAGTGCATTTTGTGTGTGTATGTGTGCCTGGTACTCTGAGAGGCCAGAAGGTGATACCAGATCTCCATGGAACTGGAGTTACAGGTGGTTGTGAGCTTCAGTGTGATGCTGGGGACCGAACCTAGGTCCTCTGGAAAAGCAGCTAGTACTCTTAGCCTCTGAGCTATCTCTTCAGGCCCTAAAAACTTTCCGCAGTGTTCTTTGAATTGAAAATACATAGTTTTGGCCGGGCGGTGGTGGCGCACGCCTTTAGTCCCAGCACTCGGGAGGCAGAGCCAGGCGGATCTCTGTGAGTTCGAGGCCAGCCTGGGCTACCAAGTGAGCTCCAGGAAAGGCGCAAAGCTACGCAGAGAAACCCTGTCTCAAAAAACCAAAAAAAAAAAAAAAAAAAAAAAAAAAAGAAAATACATAGTTTTGTTTTTGGTAGAAATAATACTATAACAGATATGGGCTGTCTGAAAAGTATTTTAGAAGAGACATTTAAAGTTATAAATGAACTTTTAAATTTTTGAGTCTTTTTCTGAGACTATCATCTCTTGCCGTGTGGTGAGGGCTGGCCAGATCTGCCAAGTCAGAGGCAGTGTGCGAAATGGCTGCCTTTAGAGAGTACAGGGAGGGTTGGAGGGAGGAAAGGATGTGATTATATTACAGTCTCAAAGATGAAGTATATTTAAAGTTAAAAAACAGAAACCACTGCATTTTTCAGACAAATCTGCATTCAGAAATGCAGATGGATGTGTTTTGAACATCTGTGACTATGGAAAGGCAAGTTGTATGAAGCAGTGATGCTTCTGTGTGGGGCAGTGACTGACAGCATGCTTGGGTGTCTGAGTTTGAATACTCAAAAGCCTGTCACTGAGCTGAGCAGCCTCAGTTGATGTTGTTAACATCATTTCTTATGTGATGGCTTTCACTAGACCACAGTCCCCACCTACAAAGCATTAGAGATCAGTTAAGTCCCTGCTTTGTCTTTTTTCATTATTGGATTTTTTGAGACAGGGCCTCTCTATGTAGCCCTGGTGTCCTAGAACCCAGTATGTAGGCCAGGTTGCCCTCAAAGGTATAGAGATCTGCCTGCCTCTGCTGGGATTAGAAGCATGTGTCACACCTGGCTTTGCTCTGTCTTGAGCTCTGCGTTTCTCTTTTTGTCTTGAAAGAGCTTATGCTTTCCTGCCTTTGCAAAGGAAATGCCAAGATCAAGCTTTGGCCCTCGGCAGGAATGCCATGCCCTGTTCCTCATCAGGCTGCTTGGGGAGTCATACCTACCTTTTATTGTGACATTGTCTAGAAGGCATGAATTAGGCGTTAGCATAATAGCACTTCAAGTCAGTTTTTCCTTTTTCCTTTTGTTGTTTCTCTTTTTAATATCTAGAAATTACTTGAGGATTTTTTTTTTTTAATGTTCTCCTGGACTGGTGAGATGGCCTTGTGAGTAAAGGCCTTTATCACCAAGCCTGGTACCCTGAGTTTTATCCCCTGGTTCCTCTGGAAAGAGAACTGGTTCCTGCAAGTTGTCCTCTAATTTCCACATGCACACTGGCATGCACACACTCCTACATGCACAGAATAAATGGATATTAAGATGTAACTGAAAACATGCTTAGTAATGCATTCTGTTTATTTCAGCATAGTATCATTCACTGTGTGATGGGCTATGGGCTTGCTCTGTAGGACAGGGCCGCCGCCGCCGCCGCCGCCGCTCCTGATA